AACTATTTCAGGTTTTGTGTAGCGCCATGGCAGATAACGGTGCGATGGATAGCAGTGCAGTTATATCACATAGATCTAATAAATTAATTTGATTATATGCCAGTATTTTCGAAAATTTATCAAATAGTCTTTAAATTCACTATCAAGGCTTATCTATCTCGAAAACTTGCAGCCATTCTAGCCGGTTAGATGAAATAGGTTACAATAGATAGCATTTAATGATAAATTATAAACTTAAGGAAGCTGCCCTAGGCCTTCGTAAGAGGTGGTTTAATAAAAAAAACGTTTCGGCCTTTCTTCATATTTGGTAAAACTTGATTTAGGAGTAGTAATTCACATCTTATAAAAGCAAAACAGTCGATTGATGTGTAACACCTTTAAAGGGGACTTATTTATCATTTTAATATAGGTCCGTTTTAATGGTTTTTCGAAGATAGCTCCGATGATGGGTAAAGATAAAAATCAACGGTTGACATATTTTACAAAATTTGCTAACTGGACTTACACGGCCACCATATTCACTATAATTAGCAAAATTCAGAACTTCACTGAGAAGCGAATTGTTGAACCATACAGAATTCAATTGTTAAATTAGATTCGAGCACGGCCCAAATACGTCAAGTGTAACGTGGCCTTTTTAATGGATTAGATAGGGGAGTTAGTACAAATAAGGAACACTGGCAAGTTCGTTCTACAGTTCAATAACCATATCTAATAAAATATTAGTTTTTACTGATACTCCTTTCTACTCAGTCTCATCCACTTAACTCTAAATAAGTGCCACTTTTCGGTATTTTCAAGCTTGACCGCCTAGTCTAGTTTGACCGTCAGGCAAAATGACTTCTCTTCCTTATTTCATTTTCTGCCTAGGCGCTGCCGTTTATCGTGACCACCTGTACACAATCGGTGGCTGGCGTGGCGTAATGCGGGACAACACGATGGAAGTCTACTGTCCAATAACGGACACTTGGTCTTTGTGCCCGATCCGATTAAACCAACATCGTAGCAACTATGGCCTCGTCGTCGTTTCTAGAGCGCGTATCTGGCCCAGGTCATGGCATCAGCACTCCAGTTCCAAGCCGGATACTTAGACTCTTCAGAATTGCTGCTAGGCACAAAATATTTCTTCGCCGATTTGATAGTCTTCTTTCGGTTAAGCCACATACCCCTACATTTGGCCTCCACTCTGGGCAATACAAATTAGCACCAAACCCTTTTTCACCTAATCACACAACTATCAGTCTAGTGATGCTTTCAGTCCTTTTTGCTAGACATATCATTTAGCTTATTTATACCGAAAGTTGTAATAAACGAAAATTTTCAGTTAAACCGCACGAATTCACTACTAACGCCGGTGTATTTAGTTCATTTAAGAATGCATGGCTTTGCCCGGCTAGCAGTCCACAGCTTCCGCATATGCTCTTAATCTTTGCATTAATGTAACGGTAGCATTCTGCTTCCCTCATTTCGTCAAAGGCTCTTGACATCTTCATTAAGACAGACGACTTGCGCCAAGATAGACCTTTCCTTTATTTAATTTTTATTATGTAACCTGTGATACTGGATTAACTTTATGTTTCTTATTATTTACACGGCCTAACTTTATCTTCTTAGCATTACAATGCTATTAACTTTAACCTAAGCATTTCACAATCCAAATCGTGATCATATATCCACAAACTTGGTTTCCAGCACGAAGTTAGCTCAAGTGGCCTACTAGTTAATATATATTGGCATACATCTTTTCCCATTTATTTTCCGATTATTTTCTATTATGGTCACCATAGCTTACTTAGTGTGTGGATAGCCAAACTAGCTCGTGGAAATTTTGGAATTTCTTAGTGAATAATATCAACGTTAAATATGGACGCCAAACAGATGTCGTTTGTCCATATTGGAGTGTAACGAGGTACCACGGTTGGAAAAGGTCTCTCTTAAAGACTTAGTTTCTAATCTAAAACACTAACGCAGCCAAGAACCTATCTTTTAGACTTTGTATTTTCAAATAGGATGATCTTGCTGGTCCTGTCCATCTGGATTTTAGTTTTTAGCCCAATCTTGCCACTGTAACGTCTACACAACCATATTCTTGTTCTTTTTATTGTAAATTTCACCGCAGATTTCTTCCTCCTATCTATTCACTTAGTTGTCCAAAAATATCAGTGCTGACTTAGCCTTGCTCCTTCATGCTTTCTGCTCGCTTCCTTTTTTTTCATTTTTAGTTGTTACATCAGCTGGATTCTTTATTCGTATCTTGATAATCATACTTTCTACTTCATTTATTTGTTTACAGTGCACATTCACAATACAGCTTACATTTACTAAAATAAAAATTTTGTATATTGGCGCTTGCATTAGCTGGAAATGTCTTCGTATTCTGGTCCTTTTATAATTTCCTTTTTTTCCTATCTCTTGCACTTCTCGATATCAATATAAATGCAATACTCTAACCGAAAACGACAAATACCGATCTGCATATGGGTGTTTAACACGACTAAATCCATGTCATTTAATTTCACTTGCATGAGTGTGACCCAAAAGTGCATGCCAGCCTCAGTAGTTGAATAGTTATGCATGGTTCATATCTTCTCGTTGCAACTCAGTAATTAAGGCTAAAGCCGAACCCTACTTGAATATGGAGTCTGAATTCTGCTTAGCCTTGATCCCATATCCTAGTCTAAGGAAAGTTAGTTCTAAATTTATCGCAGGATAAGCATATTTTTCTTTTGATATGTAGAAAAATTGGGTTCCGAAAAATTCTTTATTAAGTGAATGTT